GCAGCTGGGCTGTGGCTCCTTTGCACCCAGGCGCACGGAAGGCGGGGGTGGCGCCTCTGCACCTTCAAATTAACCAACGGACGGGCTCAGGGGAAAGCGGCATGATAAACCCCCCTCTACCGCGTCACCAGCCCTCCAATCAGCCCAGGGACCCTACACAGCCTCCGCGCTGCAAACGGGACTGCGGCCAACGGGGAGGAGAGCGCAAGTAAGGGAGAAGGCGCTCGATTATCAACCCCAGTGGCAGCGGGAAAAGGTTGGCCCTCCACCTTCAATTCATCCCCGGTACCGAACGGGGCGCCTGTTTTCCCAAAATTAGTTTTCCAGAACGCTGGGCGAGTGGAAGGGCCCCTTGTGAGTTAAATAAGATACAAACAACAAATGGTCTAGTAGCACTTTATAGACTAATAAAACATGTAGCTGGTATCATGAGCGCTCATACCACCATCTACATGTTGTGTTAGTCTATCAAGTGCTACCAGACCATTTGTTGTTTTCTTCTGTGACAGACTAACTCGGCTACCTGAAGCTCAAGATACAAACAGGGAGCATGTACATGGGAAAGGTTAAAGTGATTAACCCTGATTTTGGTTCAGTGTATGAAGAAACCTGTGCTCAGGATCCTGGCTATAGCGCTAAAGACACTGGCAGTCTGAAGCAACCCTGCAACAGTGCTTAATTTGTGCCAGCATTCTGAGCTTTCAGCCTTGGCTGTTCATAGCAGGCTCTGGGCTTCCTACCTAATTGCTTGAACCCCTCATCTGTTCATTACAAATTAAGTACTGCATAGGAACAAACTGCTAGGGTATCAGTTTAAATCCACACTGTGGAAGATAACTCTTCCCCATATTAGTACCCAATCCAGGTGGTTTTTTTAAGTAATAAAAACTATTCCTCTCGGCTACACCTCTAGTGTGTGCATATATGGTCACATTACTCTGTGCAGTTAATACAGGGGAAAACCCTTTTAAAGGAATCCATCAGAAGTACCAAAAACAATTTAAAAGGTGCAATCTTTATTTATTGCACTCTACAGCCATGAACTGAGCCACATGCAGGAAATTCCTCCTTTTCTAGCTAGGTCTCTTTATGCTATTAGCAACAGGTCAGGCTACATAATTGGTTTCTAAGTGATTTTTGAACTACAGGCAGGCCCCGGGTTACGTACAAGATAGGGACTGTAGGTTTGTTCTTAAGTTGAATTTGTATGTAAGTTGGAACTGGTGTCCAGATTCAGCCGCTGCTGTAACTGACCAGCGGCTGACTACAGGAAGCCCGAGGCAGAGTTGCTCTGCCCTGGGCTTCCTGGAATCAGCCGCTGA